CTCTGTTACTATAACTTCTTATTCTATACTCTGTTACTATAACTTCTTATTGTATACTCTGTTGCCCTAAAATATGATTGTATACTTTGTTACTCTGCTATTTTAACACCATATTGTACACATTGTTACTCTAACATCGTAATACATACTCTGTTACTCTGCTATTTTAACACCTTATTGTACACATTGTTACTCTAACATCGTAATACATACTCTGTTACTCTAACAACTTGTTGTATGCTCTGTTACTCTAACTTCTTATTGTATATTCTGTTTACTCTAACATCTTACTGTATACTCTGTTACTTTAACATCGTAATGTATATTCTGTTACTCTAACATCTTGTTGTATACTCTGTTTACTCTAACATCTTACTGTATACTCTGTTACTTGAACATCGTAATGTATACTCTGTTACTCTAACATCTTATTGTATACTCTGTTTACTGTAACATCTTACTGTAATACTCTGTTACTTGAACATCGTAATATATACTCTGTTATTCTAACATCTTATTGTATACTCTGTTACTCTAACATCTTGTTGTATACTCTGTTTACTCTAACATCTTACTGTATACTTTGTTACTTTAACATCGTAATATATACTCTGTTACTCTAACATCTTACTGTATACTTTGTTACTCTAACATATTACTGTGTATTCTGTTACTTTAACATCTTATTATGTTCTCTTACTCCAACTTTTCATTGTAAATTTTCCCACATGGATTTCCTTGAACTAGGTATTCTAGTCAATCCTCAAATTGAAATAAATTGTTGAGTAAAAAATCAAAGAAAGAAAATCGCTCACCACTCTCTTGCTTCTAATCGAAGATGTGTGTTAAATGCACCATCTTCTCCTAGAAGAGATGACGTATAGAGAAGTGTGAACCATCGCTCACCACTCTCTTGCTTCTAATAGAAGATGTGTGTTAAATGCACCATCTTCTCATAGAAGAGATGACGTATAGAGAAGTGTGGAACTTGACTTCTACAAATATTGGTATTCTATATACACAACCTCACGAACCTGTTTGATTTGACTTCTGGCTGTATCTTTTCCTCGTGTTTGTGGATGAACTGGTTCATTTCCTACTCTAGCTGATTTCCTCAGATTCACTCACCCTGACAAGAGTTATGTTAGGTTATCTAGAAAGTGATATAGAACTAATCTTTCTGGCATTTGTATTTTACATCGAGCTAGAATAGTTAAGGCATGACCATTTAAAATCGGCTGAAGTGCCACCTACCGGAATGACAAGATATACATGAATAGCCTGTTTTGATCTTTAAATACAAACTTGCTAAGTTGTTGATTTGAATCCAGCCGAAGAAACTATAGCCCTACCTGACTCCTGTTTCCCTTAAAGCAGAAGTAAAAAACTAAAAATAAATATAACTGCACGTTTCAAATCGGCTAGAAAATAACTAGCATCATGGACTGTACATAATATACAAATATTTATTACTTTTTCTGTGCTTCACAACCAGATAAATTTTTCTCGATGTCTGGGCACAGATTTTCCTATATGACGACTACACAAATGGTATCAACTTTTATTCTGGATAGCCCAAATTTCGTTGTAGAATGTTTTTATTTTAACCACCAAATAATGACACACTTCTGAGGAGCGATGCTGTCAGTATGGACTTCGAATAAGCTTCATCTATCTGCCCTATATATCATCCTAGTATTAACTAAGCTCCTAAAGTTATATAAAAATTGTGTTGACTCGTCTAATCCATGACGACATTCGAATAAATAGGACACACGGCGTTTTCTTTAGCAAGTATACATATATCCCAAACAGCGGAACACTTCTAAAAGTCAATTATATCACTTCAGCTTTACTCACATAGAACCAGTGGTCTTTTTCTCTACATATAACCATTTCTAGGCCTTAATTAACAACATTATCTACCAATCATAACTTCTTTGTGAGACCCAAATCGAGCTTGCCCTATTAGTTTGTGTAATATTAACTCTGGACAAACAGTGTTAGGTCAGAACAGAAAGAAGAATAGACCCAATGCTCTCCCACAACCGTCTGTTACGACATTTGACCTACTAAGCCAACCGTTACTTTCTCCGCGTTATAAGATTAACAAATTTGTTAAAAGTAAAATTGGTAAATCCGTACACGGCTTGGCATAGCCTGGTGGCCACCAGGGGGGCTCGACTCTACAACTTACGGGTCACGGGTTCGAATCCCATTACCGAACGTACTCACCATTTCAACCGTGGGGAGTATTATAACGTGACAACCAATCACAATATTTGTTGATAAAGAAAAGCCCAGGAGGGTGATGTTGAATAGCTGTCTATCACTTTAAAGTTAGGGATGGCAAACTGTGATGACCCTGGAGTGGCGTTGAGCGAAATTTGACAAACAAATATATATATATTACCTTCAGTACTCAAAGCGTCACCAGCTTCAATAAGATATTCGTATCTCAGAACACACCCTCACATCCCAATGTGTTCACAACTTGGACTCCTGAAGCATCATTTGTCTCGTTAACAACACGTGTTACATCCAGTTCAATCTTTTTAACTTAAAATGTTCAATTTTCGAACACCTCACAAATATGTAGAAACCAACAAAGGTAGCGTTTATGGTTTATTTACTTTACTATGGAGCAGTTTCTATTGGTTCTGTGTTCTCAGTTCGTTAGTAAATCA